TTGTGTCTTGTGGGGTCAAGGAAGAGCGCCTTTTCTGCGGTGGCCCCCGCTATGTGGAACAACTTACCACCCGAGGTGTGGTGTGCCTCCACTCTCATGGCCTTCAGGAACAGCATGAAATCTTGGCTATGCCAGATGGGCTGGGGGCCGAATGGGGGCTCGCACCAGTAGAAGTGGCTTGTGGGGTAATTGATTCTAACACACCCCCCCCCCGTCATCTTGAATGTTTTTTAATGTTTTTAGTCTTTTTATGTATTGGATTTTTTTTATACAGTCTGATTGCGTAACTAATTAATGTGGGTATTTATTTTTTTAATTGTTTTCAGATTTTACTGTGAGCTGCCCAGAGTCACCCTCTGTAGGAGATGGTCGGCATACAAATTTAATAAATAAAAAAATAAAATAAAATAAAATAAAATAAAATAAAATAAAATAAAATAAAATATATACACTATGTTGGGCATAAGAGCTGGGTTCACAGAATTCACTAGACTGTGCTAACATAGAATTAAGTAGTCAGTGGTTCCATGTACTTCAGGAACCCAGTCAGTGGCTCAGAGTACCAGAATGTCACATTAAGCTGTAATATGATTCATGTGTTAGGTTACATCTTATATAATTCAGGTTTATTAACTCAAACAGAGATTTTAGTGTGTTGTGTGAAACAGCCCTTCGACTGTGCAGAACACACATGAAGCCAATCGTGTCCTACAATTATGATGCCAGTCTTGATTTTAAGATAGAGTAGTGCATGGCAAGATGCATAGCACAGCCATGTTTTGAACACAGTAAGTCATTGTGAGAACATGGAGGCGCAGAGACTGCCAGCACCCTCTCATGAGGAGATTGCAATATTCCCCTAACAGTAGGGAGCAAGGCAAACAAATTGGCCTGATGGTTTTTCTGCAGTGTCATCTTAACTGTGGACCTAAAACAAGTAATCACACTGCTAAAGAAAAATGCCATTGTTTGCTAGTATGACTGGAACGAAAGCTGAATAGTGATTTGGCCTGAAGCAAACAATCAATCTGACTTTGATAACCCATCACTTTAAAAGGCCCTTTTTTGTTTCTGAAAAAAAGTGTGACGTCAAAACTGTGGGGAAAAAAACCCTCAAAATTTCCAGGCTAAACATACATAGCTTCTCAAACACACAAACACATGTGCAGATAAATACAAAAAGGTGCCCTGTGCAAACAGATTTTTTTTTTACATGCATAACAAATTAGTTTATGGTTATTAGAAGCCTGAGATGTAATGTCCAAGTTACTTGTGCCATTTTTGGGGAGAAGTTGTTTATGATTCGTCTGTCTGAGCCTTTAAACTGGTAGAGCAGAAAATAAAATGAAAATTGTCTGACTAGTTGCCAGACATTCCTAGCAATATATAAATGACGTGCTGGAAATGCTTGAGTATAATCATTATCAGGTGAGTTTATCTCCCTCCCTTCCTTCCTTCCTTCCTTCCTTCCTTCCTTCCTTCCTTCCTTCCTTCCTTCCTACCTTCCTTCCTTCCTTCCTTCCTTCCTACCTTCCTTCCTTCCTTCCTTCCTTCCTACCTTCCTTCCTTCCTTCCTTCCTTCCTACCTTCCTTCCTTCCTTCCTTCCTTCCTACCTTCCTTCCTTCCTTCCTTCCTTCCTACCTTCCTTCCTTCCTTCCTTCCTTCCTACCTTCCTTCCTTCCTTCCTTCCTTCCTACCTTCCTTCCTTCCTTCCTTCCTTCCTACCTTCCTTCCTTCCTTCCTTCCTTCCTACCTTCCTTCCTTCCTTCCTTCCTTCCTTCCTTCCTTCCTTCCTTCCTTCCTCCCCCCCCCCATGTTTGAATCAGTTTCCCACTTACAGATAACTAAATCCTTTTATTTCAGTGGGATTAAGGTATATGCTTGCATGTATTTTTGCATATGTATAATACAATGGAATTTAGAGAAGATTACAAGGTGGTTTTTTTTCTTAATAAATATGATAAATCTGGTTACCGAATGAATAACTATTTGTATAGAAATAGAAAACACAATGTTTAACATAGTACCATGTTTTCTTGATAACACAGTTGAATGCCAACAAAAGCAATTGAATAAAATAAAACCTATTTCAAAGTGATGAAATATGTAAAGTAAATGTTTAAGTATTGCATCTATAATGGTATATATTTTCAGGTTTTTGAGATTGCTTTTTCTTTTTTTATAACAATAGCAAAGACATTTAAGGGAGAAGAATTCTTCAATATCATTCTCTATTTCTGTCTTCATTCATTCATTCATTCATTCAAATTTGTTATAGCTGTCCAACTCCAATGGACTCAAAACAGACTCAAAATGTATCAATAATTTGCGCATGTTTTGTTAAGTGTATGTAATATCAACAGATTTAATTAAGAAAATGAACATTGTATACTTTGTTTCTGTTATTTGGTCATTATTTAAGTTTTATAAGTTACTGATATTTTGAAAGTACTGATCTGCAGGGTTCTGTCTGTTACATACTATATAATAATCATGATAATAAATGCTCTCTCTCTCTCTTGTAAATAATACATTTACAGTATATTAATATTCATGTGTTCCTAGTGAATTTTACTTCTACATGTAGCTTTATGTTTCTTATGAAAAGTAATCAGTATTCGATACTGACGGGAAAATCTCTATATTCTCTCTATATAAAATCTCTCAATATTCACAGCAGTTCTGATTCCCAAACACTGATGAGAGGCTGCACCTTTCCCCTCTGTGTCCTCAGGTGCAGACTCACCTGGAGAACCCCACCAAGTACCACATCCAACAAGCCCAACGGCAACAGGTCAAACAATACCTCTCCACTACATTGGCAAACAAGCATAACAACCAGGCGCTCAGCTTACCCTGTCCAAACCAGCCCAGCGACCACGTTATGCCACCCGGCACTGGAAGCAGCGCACCCAACAGCCCAATGGCCATGCTGACACTGAACTCCAACTGTGAAAAAGAGGTGAGACCAAATCTTGCCTTTGGCCTTTGGTACTTCAAAAAAACATGTTTCTTATGCTGTCTGTTTTCCCTCAGGTTATGAAAATACTTCATTGGTATCCCAGTCCCCTATGTTTACTCAGGAGCAGATCTTCGGGCTGCTCATCCAACCTCCCTAAAAAGAAAAAACAGAAACTATAAATATTAATATGTCTGAAATGAAAAGCGTGCACTACTTCATAAAATAGAGCCATCTTTCTTTTAGTCCAGCTATTTGAATTGCATTGGGGTAGCAAGTGATATGATAATACAGAACTATTTTTATTTCTTTCCAAAATTTGCTGGGATAGTATTTCCCACCACATAGCAATTACAGAGATAATTGCTGACCCAGGGCATTTACATGGGACGTAATCAAGACCTGTTGTCACATTGATCGATACGGTTCAGGACCCTATTCCCAGCAGTAGCCAATCTGATCTTTTGGGGAAACTAGAAGTGAACAGCTTTCATGTAAGATTCTCCCAGGAACTAGCCGTAAGGGTTGCACTTCTTCAGAATACAAAATCTCAGTAAAGTTTTGCAACTACTGGCCACCTATAGATGCACTGAATTTATCTAACTTCATTATGAGCAATGGTACATATCGTATCTCCATGGTACAAAGTATTTGTATTCATTTTAAAAATCTAGTCTTCATGCATTTTAAAAGCTTCAACTCTGCAAGATGGTATGTAAATATGATTAAAATAATACCTAATACGATTAAAACTACTGGAATAGTTACTGTTCTTATTTTTACAAATTGCCATAGAATCTGTTCCAATGAAGGACAACATGCAACGATTTAAATTATAAAATCTATTAAGTACATTCTTCTTTGTCTCATGCATCTACTGGGTATTAATATTATGAGAGTTATTATTTATTTTTCTTTACACCATGTCTCTCTTTCTTCAAATAGGACTTAAATGCTTTTAGCCTTTTTCCTAAGAAATATGCTACAAAATGTATGATTGTGTTATTTTTTTTAGCACTCTGATTCTTTTTGACAATGGATGATCTGAACTCACTCTGTATTTGAAATATATAGACTTAGATTGTACATATATGCATGCAAATGAAGCATTATGCTATTGGCTGCTTTTGCAGGTTTCCACACAAATCCTTTCATGGAATTTAGCTTTTCAGAACTGTTGCACACTAGGTTGATCTTAGTTGAGGTATCAGTGTGAATCTCTCATTCCTAGCTGACCGCTACCAATTAACTGTCAAGCAGATTTTTATCCATCCTCATGATCCATGCTCTCTGGGGCTCCCAAAAATTCCTATTTAACTACATGCAAAGGGCCACAGGTGATTCCAATCTACATCTTTTATGCATAATTGCAATATTATAGAGTGCAGTTGAACACACAAACTGCTTGAAAAATAGAAAACATGAAATCCAATAGTATTAAGAATGCACAATTGTAGCTTTTATTAATAAAATGAAATGAAAGTATTTTTCCATCTATTTGGTATACGTCAGTGGCGAAAGAAAAAAATCAAATCAATAGGGGAAATGAGAAAGGAGGGAAAATAAAATAACTAGCATTAAAGTTTCTTTTGATATAAATATTGCTGATGACTGCATTTGGTAAACTGTGTGCAATCTCATAATTCCATCTCAATAAATGTATTGTAGAATCAGAAGGCGTACAAAAAAGAGAAGTTTCTTACTGATGACTTTCTGAAAATTAATGAGAGCTTCCCTTTGAGTAAGGTGTTTGGTACGTGTGTATATAAAATATATAGACATACCACTGTTGTTACTGTCAGTCCAAATCAGTCTACTGTGGGATGAAAGCCTCTTTATTGAAGGTTATGAACTATAGCCTGGTCCAGTGCGGTTTGGTAGGTAGATGTTTTTTGACTTCTCAGTCTAGGGCTACAGAAAATGACTGGCCCAGTGTCACTCAACCACTTTCTGTGCTTAGTATTTTCAAATAGTTGGTAGGGCAGGGATCAAGGGAGATGTCTGGAGGAACGTTGGTGCCCATAGACATCATATTGTCACAAGTTGTTGTTGTTTAGTCGTTAAGTCATGTCCGACTCTTTGTGACCCCATGAACCATATTGC